CGTTTGCAAACAACTTATCAAAACATATCTATCTGCTGTAGGGACGTATGCATTGAGAGAGAGATTCTTCGAATTAAATATCAATAGATGTTGATATATATGTCAAGTAAACTGGCAATGTAATGATTTTATCGTGTTTTGGAAAAGAAGCAAACATTTTTTAATGATGCAAGACGCATATCACTACGTACTACACAGAGCCGATATTTGCCCAAAGTGAGCATTTGAGTGCACCCGGAATTCCAGTTAATTTCCCAAAAAGATATCGTCAACAAATTACATAAATTATGTTGTTTCGAGATTCTACAGATTCACTGTGTAATTCAAAGGAAAAGCTACATGTTCTATATCAATACTTACAAACTGTACAATCTATGGTCAGCACCGTTTATAGATCCATTTGACGTCCACCAGAACAACAGGAGGCCAGTGTTTGTGTCATGAAACATGTACGATCTAGTTGTAGTGCACTATACAGTAGTTGACTGGAGAGAACATGGCCGCTGCTTACTCTTTCTGTGCATAGACTAACGCTACAAGGAGCATACAACATCCGTTGCATCGTTGAATAGTTTAATTTATATACATTATGAATTGAAATTTTCCGTTTTTTTTATTCTATCTGTGTGCATGTTATTAGTACCATCATAGATTCGAAATGCACATGTCTATTTAGTAATTCACCACTAGATGCTATTTCAAGCCGCCCTTGAGAGAACGCATAGATGGGCCAGCGTTTGCCTACAATGGCGAGGCGCATGTCCATTTGCCAAATTCTAAGTTAAAATTTCATGTGTCTGTTTATTCGATATTATATTTTTTCTAGTACTACTGTTGGTTTTTAAACAGTTGGATTAGTAATGACAAATACAGTACGTGCTCATGAATAATTATTGCGAACCATTGAACACGGTTTTTTGAACTCTGAGACTTGAAATGTTGAATGATGAGAATCACATACTTGGATAATGCATATTTGAGTTTTCTTAAATGGGTTCTACTAAGAAATTAGAATACTGCGTTCGAAACCACTATGGTCCAGTTTGTACTGCAAGTCCACTGCAGTTTTGAAATGTCACGATTTGATCTTTTTCATGTTACCCACCTTTCACCCAATTGTAACAAGTAAAAAATATTACTGAAATACAATTTGTGACGTACATGATCAGAAATGAAATATGTCACATTTGCTAAATCAGGTGCAAATAAAAACAAATTTGCCTCATTTTTATTCAGCCACCATTAACATATAAATATTATTTTCTTGTATCTCGCTTTTCCAAGTATTAGTATTAATTACAGAATTCTCTGGGGAAAAATCTAGAATCAGACAATAACATAAGAATTGTTTTTTTGTGTTCCATAAATTAAATTAAATTTTGGAATACAAATTATTATACATCTCAGACAGTACACCGTTGCATCTGCCTCCGCTACGCGTCAGTCGATACTTCCGCTGTACTGTCTTCGTGTATACTTTGAGGTATCCTCGTAATAACCTCATAGTATTTGCTGTATGATTGGATACATTTGATCTTGAATTGGACTCATTCCTTATAGGATAAGTCGAACTTGGTATATCACATTGTAATGTCTTCATTTAGTATTTAAAATTGCATGAACAAGTGAACAACATTACGAAATCGAAATTGTCTCATACTGAAATCAGAATTGAAATATTTCACATTTTCTAAAACATGCCCACACAAAAAAATCCCAGAAAGTAATTTGCCAATTTTAAAGGGCTTACAAAAAATATGAATTTGCATTTGACTGATCCTTTATTCAACCACCAATAAGAAACCATATTATGTTATTTCAATATCTTATTTTGTCTACATTTCTTGTAACATTAATATTGAAATAACATTGCTACCTTATTATTTAGATTATTGCATTCCCACATATTATGTTTGTCCATTAAATATCACCAAAAAACAAGGACTTGTACTAATTACAGAATTATGCTAGATAAATTCTAGGATCAGACAATAACAAATGTATTGTTTTCCAAATTTATGTAAAAAATGTGTGATATAAGACTGGCTATAAATTTTTGAAAATCGGGTATCTGGAATCACCTGCATAACATCTAAGGTTAGTGTAACATAATTTTATTTTTTAATACACACATACGACTAACGCAAGTATTGATAACACTAAACCCAACACTATTTGTTAATTTTATAGGGACGGTAAAATAAAACTAATTCCGGAAAAATAATTCTACAGATAATATGAAGATGCGCAACCGAATAACAAGTATGTATGTTCTCTTGGTCTGTCTTGCTTCTTTTTGAAGTAGATGGACTAGTGCGTAGACGTAGACGTCGCTTTGCATCACCGCCTCCTGTAAATTGCCTAGTGAGTTCATGGGGTGAATGGAGCACCTGTTCGACGACGTGTGGTCCCGGTACACAGACGAGACAGAGATTGACGACTTCCCCCGCACAAGATGAAGATTCCTGCAACTATGCTCTGGTAGAGTCCCAGGAATGTAATACTGGTGTATGCTTTAATGGTGACTTCGTTATAGGTTCATTTCAATGCGACAATGGTTTGAAAGAGACATGCTGTAATGTTGGTAGGTTGGTTGGTTGGTTATAAATTCAATGTATTTGAAACAGCATTGAAAAGGTCATTAAGTTATCCAAGAAGCGCCCTCCTCAGGCAATATCGACAAGACCGCTCGTTTTGCTACAATGCCAGTAGAATAACGCTACAAAATATTTCAATGCAATTTTGAACAATTAAAGTCCTACATAAACACGATCAAAGTAAACCAACTTCAGTAATAACCCTCAGTAATAACGATGATTTTTTTGTTCACTGACGCTGTAATTAAAATCTATAATTCAAAACAAAATATATTTTTCATAATCAATCTATATTTTTAAACTCTATATAATAATGAGTGTACAAGTAATGATTGAAGGTCTGGTCACGTATCAGGCAACTAGGAATTAATTCCTCATATGTATGATATTAAAAACTACTTCGAAAACAATTGAATTTGTAAGTCTAGAACAATTTCTCTTTATTTTTGTCTCTAGAGGGCGTGATATCGTATTTTAACATTAATAGCAACAATTATTGTTACAATTATCAGACAGTACGTTGTTTTTAAAGTGAATATGAATTTGACCAAAATGATAGCTTGTGTTCAGTATTGTATCAAACACTGTAAATTACCACTAAAGAAACAATCGCACTGTTATCATGTAAAACTGATTATTCATAGGAATTTGATGGGTAGAACAGTTTTTAATTTTACACTCTATATTTAAAATTGTTATGGTATTAAATGTGCTAGGAATTCATTAAACGTTCTTGTTATTGTATTTCAGATATTGAGAAAAATGTGTCAGGTACACATGAATGCCGTCAATACTGTATGGACCTGTTGAGACGCGATGATGAACATGACTTGAATGATAATGACAAGGAATGTGCACGTATGTCGTGTTTCACTCTAATAATTGCAAGTGAATCAGTACAGCCAATAGTTACATAGCGAACCAACAATCCTGTTTTGATTAGTAGTATAATCAGGCGACATAAACTTCGGTAATTTCAATAATGCACATAACGAATAAGACGTGCCGCTATCAATGTGAAATACACTACATCTGTAATGTAATAAAATGTTCATTTTATTGAACTGAAATACTGATGTAATTTTAATATTATATAATAAAGGACTATTATACTGGATCGAACGTAATTCTAACACTAGTTGTATTTCACTATATTTGATCGGAACAATGAGCACAGATAATAATGGTATAGACAATAGTTATTGTATGACCCGCATAAGGAATATTAATCATGAAACTGGGATAAGCAATGGCGATCATAAGACTGGAATAAATAATGGTAGTCTAATACTGGAATAAGCAATGGTGAGAATAATACTGAGTAGCACAATTTGTAAATAAAAATGGGGCAAGAAGCAGTGGTCAAATGACTTTGGTAAAGGACAGTGGTTATACGAATTGAATGAAAAGGGAGCAGTAATCATGGGGTGATGACCATCGATCATAAGACTACGATAGTGAACAGGGATAATAATAGGTCATTAAATCAACAATCTCAAATCTCGGGTAAGAAACAGCAAGTATCTTAATGAAATGGTGATCATAAAACCGGGGTAGAGAAGTGCTAATACTGAGATAACAAACCGTGATTATAAGAACTTGGATAAGATAAATTGGTCTTAATTTTGACACCAGCATCAGTAATCATCGTACTGGGATAAAGAATCATAAGATTGTGGTTGGAAACAGTAATCATGAAAGTTGGTATGGAATAGTGATAACAAACCTAGGCTAAGCTACTGTCTGTCACTATAAGACTGTAGTGGTGAACCGTGAACGTAAAAGTGTACATAACTGGTTTTCATAAGATCAGGGTGGATAATAATTTGCATAAGAATGAGACATTGATTTTAAGTCAGCAGTGTTGGTAGCAACCACCCCCCCTTAGAAGACAGGAGTAAATATTGGTCAGTGTACTAGGTGTAGAAACAGTGTTCATTGCACTGGCTTAAAGAACAGTAATACTAAGTAAGACTACGTTAAAATACAGTGATCATAATACTGGCATTGGGAAGAGTATCCACAAAACTTGGGTGAGGATCAGTGATCATAAGACTATGGTGAAAAAAAAATAATTTAAGCTGCAGTTCTTTATAAACCAGCCAAAATCCGCATCGTATATTTGGTGGTATTTCCACATGAGCTAATCAGAAGATGGTCTTACTAGCAGCTTTCTCACGTAGGCAACCCAGTAGATCGTAAACATCCTTTGTTATGTAAGTTTCAAGCACAACTGGTAGATTCCAATTGTCCTAAGTATTAAACAAGTATGACTAGTCAATCACCTTTATGACAGTTATCACACGGCAATGCACACTGTTTCTTCCCATGATTCCATGCACACTTCTATTTGCAGGGTTTAAGGTAATATGACAAAAACATTAAATAAAGGACACACATAATCCACTTATAAATGATTTATTAATGATGAGTATTTAAGCGTTCATAGTAAAAATATAAAAATACAATATAATATAAGATAAGATATATGGTAGTGTCGAATAAACGCAGTCAATTATAACATAGAAAGTTATCAAGTCATTTTTTTGATTGCATATGGTCCATTGTCTTGTTGACGAATATAGTGATCATATTTCTGAAATAGATAAGACATGTATGGTGTGTTAAAATACAGACGTATTGACACAAGTGACTGCAACAGTAGACATCCTTGTATGATTAAAAAGAGTGTAACCTTGGAGATAAAACAATGGCTAAATGTTAAAGGCAATTATAAAATACTAGTTAATTGACAAATGTCAAAAAACACATCAAAACTCATTATAAATCATTATACCAGTTGATGAACCAACACGACACAACATATTTTACGAGTTTACAGTATCAATCAATTACCTGTACAGGAATGTCCATCAACTGCTAGTTGATACCCCGTAGAACATATGCAATTATAACTGCCTTCAGTATTTTCACACATCTGAGCACAGCCATGACTGTTATTGTAGCACTCGTCGATATCTGGAAAACAACGTTCGATTCAAATATATTAACTCATGGCAGATACGTAGATCCTTTGCCATGTTCACTGCTCAAACGGCGATTAGACTATGTTAAACACATTGGTGGGATATTAGATTGACATGGTCAGTAATTGCGCCCTCACTGACGGATTCACTCAGAAGCAAACTTTGCCACTCTCCACACAGAGGGCGCTCGCTCCCAGCATGCTTCACGCTCATGACACAATTTCCCACTTTCCCGGAACTCGAAGATATGGCGTTTCGCATGCGCGCGCATGTCGTTTTGTGGTGTAACGTAAACTTGCACGCGTGATATTATGTTTCTGGGTGTACCAATCGACGTAACAACTTAAAATAAAATTGCTTTCTATCGACTATCAGCAAACTGACTTGTAGATCTGAACGGAAAGTACTTCTAATTTTACTAAAAGACTACAAAGCAATGTCCGATATGCCTGATGACAATGTTGGTATTTCTACTATAACAACTCTTCATTGCCAAATCCGAAAAAAATCGGGAAATGACTGTGATGTCGCCGGTATATTCTACAGCACTGTATCAAACGTAGTTTGTGTCCGACTGAATTTGTCGGTGAGGGCGCAATAACTATCGCCGGTCATGTCAGGCGAGTGGGCATCATGCAACATCAGCGGGCGGATACCCCACACTGATCAACTAAAGATATTACGCACTAATCCCAAACAGTTAAAAAATATTTAGATTCTGTTCATAGCACAAAACATAATCACATCAACGTGCTATCGCGTCTTATTTTGTATGAATCTCTACTTACCATAGCATGAATTGCCATCTTGTATGTATCCTACATGGCAGGAACATATATAACTGCCCGGGGTATTGCTACATTGTAAAGTTCCGCAGACATTGCTATTATCCAAGCACTCATCAATGTCTGTAATGTATTGGAATAATTCTCTACTATATTGTTATCATAGAAAACAACACACATATCACATCAACTTTTATAATAGTTCATTGCACACAGGAAAAAACACATCATAATCTGTATGGCAAAGAATATTGTAAGATGGAATGGATAACGAAGTAAATGGCGAATACATTGAATTGAATCGGAAAATATTTTGAATAACAAAAAGGCAAAACGCTCAGCTGTGCCAGTGGCATAAGTCTTACATAAAATTTGTAAAATCAACAAGATGAAGTAATATTTGTAACACTTTTTAGTCGTAAGCTACACAAACTGTTATACAATAACTTAAAGTTTGGTATTTAGTTTTAGATTTTGATTTAAGTTAATGTATCATTGAATTTGATGTAAGGATACTCAAAACACAATTTAACTGAATTTACGTTGATGGAAAAATATAGTTAACAACAAAATGATTTCCGTTACCTGGCTATTTGATATTGTCATATTTCACTTCTAATTAGCCAAGAGTGTGTCTTTACACAGTGATTGATTTCTTTATTATAAGTACTTACCTATACACGACTTTCCATTTGACAAATTATACCCAGGGTTACATGAACAAGTATAACTACCAGCGGTGTTATGACATGTATGAGTACATTCTCCATTATTAGCGGCGCATTCATTAATATCTAAAGAACATAATAACAAATAATAATATCATAATCACTCATTATATATAATCCATTTTATTCAAAAATTATTTTAAATGCAAATATACCGTTTTGGCAGCAGGTTCCCGTCCATCCGGGGTTACACTGACAGGAAGTTGACAATGGGGTGCCGTGTCCGTTACATCCATCGCGATTACATGGTCGGTTTACTTGGAGAGCATGAGGACAGGACCCTCCACATTGCGCTTGCATCGTAATTGGACGCGACCTCGACTGCGTTCCCGCGTTGCCACACGGTGCCGAACAAGGCGTCCATGTACTCCAACCACCGACCGTGCAGTTTATCACCGGGCAGCTTCGTCTTCGTCTTCGGCGTCGACGCCATCCATCGGCGTTGTGAATTCCACAAATAATTACAGCCATTACTAATAACATAACAAGTTTCCTGGGACCCATTGCAACGACAGACTTTCAATCCAGTCCTGGCAACGGACAGGACAAACTGTTCAATTAGATGCGAACGACACGAGGGACTGAAAAACATAAATACAATCAGATTGTCAATAAAAAAAAACAATTTACAAATACCCAATACAATTGTAATTGTTGGTGTATTGTAGTAAAATATTATAAACATAGTGCAAAGAAGTTGTTTGATTTTGTCTGGAAGAGCGATGGTTTGCGCAACATTTCGTTGAAATCCATTTCAAAGAAAGACCATTTTAGGTATTAAATTACCAGCAAAAGACTTAAGACCTGCTTTTATGTCAGAGACGGTAGGCTGTGCATTAGATGGTAGTTACACACTAAAATAACGATAATTTTGACGTTAGACAGAAATGAAGTCCGTGAAACGTAGGTCGATCGCTTCTAAATTTGTCCACAGTCTATACGCTTGTTCGGAAAGTAAACCATAGTAACCATGATAAAACGTAGTACAATTGAACGATTAGCGTTGAAGAGTGACGTGTGATATTCTGTATCCTGGTGTGAGTAGCTAACACGTAATAATGACGTAATAATGACGAGCCATATCGTAAGTCTATACGTTGCGTGAAGTTGGCTGGGCATTGCATCATTTAATTGTTAACCCTGGTTTGTATTATTGTTTATTATATAGTTGCGTCATACTAGTAGTTAAGACGTCCAAAAAGACTTGTATGCCTAAATTTCGCCATTATGTTGTGCGTGAACCTATTTACTTAACAAATTAGAAACCCGTTATTGGATGACCGAACGCCGGTAGAGATAAGCCATAACACGCAATGCCTATTAGATTGGATAAACCATGGATGTATAAACAGATACTAGAACGCAATCTTTCGAGGTCGAGAGGTCCCCCAGTGTAACAGTGTCAGCAGAAATATCTGGCGAGGTAATTAAAATCACATGTGCTTAAGTTTTCTGTTTGTGACATCACTGGGGAAAAAGAAAAATACCCCCTCTCCAAAAACAATATGTACCTCCTAGACTGAATCGTTGCCATATGAACTAACCAAAAATGAAAAATCATGTATATACACGAAACCTGGTAATTATATCATTTGTTTTTGACATATTGAAAGATTTCTCGAGAATACAGTCAAATAATCGATAACGTGCGCTTACACTGTTGATGCAAACTTTCAACGTGAGTAACGACTTCAAGGCTGTCATAACGTTATTAATTGTCAACAGGGAACAGAGAGAACATGTGAAGTACATTTTGACATTTTACATTAAGCTTATACGTGGCAATGACATAGCAGACAAAGTACTTACCTACTCTATGGGTTGATGTGAGTCTGGTAGTAAAACGGCTCACACACACACACCACTTTATATACTGCCAATGGTATGACGTAGTTCGTAATCATTACGGCGTAATGCATGCATCAATATCAGACAGGTTTACAAGGTCATGTCAACCTCATAACAAATCGAGTCTGTACAAACACCAACTAAATCGTTTAAGCATGTTGTTGTTTTTTTGTTTCGTAAGGTTAAATCTTTCGCACCATAACGGGGGGGGGGGTAATATAAAGGTTAGCCTTGACATTAGCCGTGGGCACTTTCACACGTGAGTCTCTCCAAGTACCTAGTATCGTAGTGAGCTAAATAAAGCTAATTATCTAATTAAAATGAGATTAAGCCATCATTGAATGTGGAATTACATTAGACTTGTTTTCAATAAAACTTAACTAGTCGAAATTGGGAGCATTCCCCGTTTATCGTGTTTCCTTTTTTTCTACGAAAACACCAGGGTGGCTAAGAACTAGTAATGCGACGACACAAACAGGATGTCGGTAAACCACGCGATATACGAAGCTCAACATAATTTAATTAAGGTTAAGTACACCAGTCCTAGATGTTTTTTGTGGTCAGGTTATTGACACCACTCACCAGTATAACGTTTAGGAGTCAAACGTTTGAAATCATTGGCTGTAAGAGTGGGGTCTGTGAAATGGTTTTTTGTGCTATTTTATTCATTTATTTCTGTTTTTCTTATCAGAGCCACGCTAATTGATTGTATGGATTTTTTTATGGTGTCTAGTTTGCAGTCTCTTAAAAAAATTCTCGGCCACTCCCGTGATTTTAAATATAGAATTTCTTTAGATGTTTAGTCTACTCTGAACTGTGACTGCGTATATTTGGATGTGTTTACTATTCGAATGTTTTTACCCATATATTCGAGCAACGAACGCGAGTACACTTGTAATGTCATCGACGTACTTATACTTCAAAAACAGAATCGAAATATTTGTATGTGATATCAGGAAATCCGTTATAACTATTTTGACATCACTATAAATATACCACTGCAATATACTAGTAAGCTATAGGCAGTTTCAACAAAACGTCATTTGTTTACATTTTTCCAACCAACTTGCGATGCGAATTTCCGATAACTAAATTCGCTCACTGATCAGTACTAGCCCGCCCTGAACGGCCAGTTCTTGTCGATCAGGTTCTGTATTCTCGCACGCACGCGAAACGAGTGCGACGGTATGTACTTCGACACTTATTCCATTTTGTATGTTGCAATCAACAACTCACACGAAAATGAATAATAACTTAGTTTATCACTTGCCAAATCATCATAGTATGACATGAAACAAGGGGTATTCGTATTCTTCTATTCTGTTTTACGTCACAGACCAAACTACTTTCTTTGCATCAAAACGACCCAACGCAAAGTGTACGCACATATTGTTTTATTGTTTGCTCACATAAATTTGAGTAAATTTTACGGCGATGATGGACACCGAATCGTCGAATCGTAGATGGCGATTAGAGTTATTTCAATTGACGATTGACAGAGTCTCATGGTGGTGATCAAGCCAGAACTACAAAAACACCATCGAAGCCGATAGTGGACGATGTCGCATAAGTTTTAGTTCAAGATAAAGCAAATATGACTTTGGCACTATTTATTCGTCTTAATCAAGAACCGGGGTTGCTTCGTGTTTTGTTGCTTGATTGACACCCGCAACACAAACATAGTATTACGACAAGCTATGTGTTCATCTTGGGGCATATTGAAAAGAGATCTCTATTACAATTTAATTTCCATATCGATATTATTTTCTATGAGGTCTGTCTGGTCTGTTCATGTCCATGAAATCGTAGCGATGATGACACGTTGCCTCACAGTCTCTTTCATTCGCTGTTTCTTTACCAAAAATGTAGCCCACGAACGAACCCACTATTTGTACATATCAGCAAATCCACGACTTTTCCCATACACATTTCTACTTCCTTTCACGGAACCAAACCATCATCGTTTTTTTTTTATTTAGTTTATCGTATTGTATTTGTTCGTTTTGCAAGGAATTGCAAGAACGTTTCAATATGGCAATTTCCGGTTTAAATTAAATCGAAAATGGCTACCAAACCAGTCGACTAATCAAAATTCTTAAAGTTAGGTGCACAAATTCTCATAGTCCCCAAGGAAACGGTGGAAGAACAGGAATGAGTACCCTAATAAATATCGGGGTAGGGTCAGGTCAGGAATGTAATAACATACCATTTTTTTATTATCAAAAACAGAGATATCAGAATAGCCTAGTATTAGATCCGTAACAGCTAATTAACTATCTATAATTGACCACTAAGCATTTTATTCTGGAATAAAAAGTTTATTATTTCGTAAGAATGTCATTATTATGTGATAGCGATTATGTTACACTGTGTTAAACTCGTTGAAATAAAATAAAACAATGATCGTAAAGAAATTGAGTAACTGTTAGGCTTGTAGCATGAAATTATTCCATGCGGTAATTCCTACAAAAAAGAATATTTAATTTCTTTTTGACTCTATCATTTACGGATTGAGTATGATCAATTGTATTATTATAAATTTTAACTAACGACAACACATAATACATTGACGACAATAAAGAACAATATACGATTGAATGCATTTAATATAATATATGTTTATTAAAAGTGCAGGTTACCAAACTAATTCAGATACTCAATAAATTGTTATTGAAAGTCGAGAAAAAGATTATACAAAGATTGACATAGCTCGCACAATGTAGAAATATCCCTGAGGAATAATTGTTCGGAGATTGTTATCCTTGATCTTAGCTCACGTATTTCATATAAATTGACATATCTCTGTACGTTATTATATTTTCTGTGTGTGGTCCATACACGATGACTATTCGATATCTAAAGCAAGCACTGAAAATAAAAACACATAATAAAAATATACCAGTTTACGTGAAAAATAATGTAAACGGACTGAATCAAATATTATTTATTGCAGTATCTTCTATTAAATAATAAAACCACAGGGGAAATGGCAACATTCTACAAATATTTATGTAAATGACAACATATTACCTTCACATGATCGTCCGTCGTCACCTAGTTGAAATCCATCTATGCAGTGGCAAGTAAAGCTCCCCACAGTGTTTTCACATATTTGCTCACAGTTATCATCGTAATTGTAACACTCGTCAATATCTGAAAAATAGAATGACTCTCATATTAATACATTATAGTCTTTTAATCGAACAATTTATTTTATACATGCTCTTTTTTAGTTTGAAATTGTTAAATGTTATATCATTGGACACTACGTTTTCTTTTATATCTATATTATGTATATTACACATCACTAAAAGTTCTCGTAAACAACAACAACGTACCATAGCAAAACGATCCGTCCTGTATGTAGCCAGCACCACATGAACATGTGAAACTTCCCGGCGAATTGATACAATGTAGTTCTCCACACGGATTATTATCATCAGAACATTCATCAATGTCTGAAATCAATCAATCAATCAATCAATCAAGATAGTAATTAAATACATACATATTAGTATCGCTCATAACAGACAGTGTACTTAGACATTTCGTGGAGCTCAATTACCTGTACATGAACCGTCCTCTTCTACCATCATGTATCCCGTGTCACACGAACACTGGAAACCTCCAGGTGTATTTGTACAAACATACTCACAGTCAACATTATCATCCGTACACTCATCAATGTCTATTAAGAAAGAAACAGCACTTTCATATATAAAAAAAAATGATTTGGGTCTTTGAACGCTCGCAACGACACACATACAGTAAAATGCTCTTTTTGTATTACATGTATTTGACAAAACAACGCGTATACGAATATGATTTTGTGGTGTGTACGTATTACCCACCTGTACAAGTCATACCGTTGTCTTCTAGAGTGTATCCTGCATTGCACTGGCAATTGAAACTACCGGCCGTGTTTATACAGGTATGATTGCATCCACCATTTAAGTCATTGCATTCATTTACATCTAAAACCAAACACAAGTCGTAATCATTTCAAAGATGCTTCATGAAATAAGTTAAACAAATATCACAACGTCAGTTACAACTATAAAACATAATGGAAATACAATGCGGCACCGAAATGCGACCAATTACTGATATGAAGGATTATACAAATCGTATTTACAATTACTTTGTGACAAATGTTTATTGTAATAGAGTGTTTTAATTACATAAATACTTCTCTATCAGAAACTTGCCATTACTGTCTAATTTAGCAAAACAGAGAATATATATCAATTTACGTAAAAACTATGTAAATACCTGTGCATATATTCAAATCTGATGTAAAACCTGTGTTACACTGACAATCGTAACTTCCATCGGTATTAATACATATGTGAGCACATCCACCGTTGTCATCGTTACACTCGTTCAAATCTGCATAGACAACAATACTCACAGTTATGTTTGACGATGATGTAACACAACATTCGATGTAAAACATGATTGTCACCTTCAGTAAAACTGTATGATATGACACGTGACTCATCATACACTTTTATATAAAGGCAGATACATTGTTCATTTTCAATATCGTCTGATAAAACACCGTCATCGTGTCATTATAAGTAATATTTGAATGTTGGTTCATTGCCGGAAATACGTTATTAAATTAGGATATTTATTAACTTAGCAGCGTCCACTCACCTTCACATGAAGCACCGTCATTTCCCATGGTGTACCCTGCATTACACTGACAATGGTGACTTCCAGCTGTGTTCACACAGCTGTGTTCACATCCGCTGTTGTCAGCAATACATTCATTGACATCTGTGTTTAAAAGTTACAATTGCAATTTAAAAGTTATTGACAAAAGCTAGAACATATCAATATCATATGTACAAAATCCATCAGTAGTGTGCACATTCGCAATGTATTAAGCAATTGTATAAATGTAATACTCACATATGGTAAAATGTAAAACCCACACTATAAAGTTAGAATACTACTGTTTAACTGTGTTGCATGGAAGTACCTGGATTGTACCTTGTTGTTGGTGATACAAATGTTTATGGAGACCGTTAGTTTGTTATGTAAGACATATTTTTGAATTTCACAGTACGATTATGTTGGGATAGATCAGCAAAGTACACAAAAAAAAAGATATGACTTGATTTGACATATGTTCACATTACCTATACATGTCTCCCCGTCTGTTCCTGGTTCATATCCCGTATCACATACACACATATAACTCCCAAGGGTATTAATACATGTTTGACTGCAGTCACCATTGTTAACACTGCACTCATTCACATCTAAATTAAAAACAGAATAATGTTTAGTATATATTCGTATTCAGGATATGAATAACAATCGCTCGGGATTAAATAGTTAATCACGATTTGCAAAAATCTGCATAGAACTGACATTTTTACCACCTCCTACTGAGTTTAGACCAAACAATCTAAAATGTATACATGTGTATAAGAGGTTGATAATCAAACCCACAAACTCTCATTTTGAGATCACTCTCCCTGTCACGGGAATGACAACTGATCTCCAAAAATTCGCTCATTACTGAGCGAGCTAGCGAAAACCCCAATCCAAGCTGATTGCTTGATCATTTTACATCCAAACAGCGTGAAATTTGTATACAAATATGAATTTTCTTAAAAATCAGACAAACTTGGCGGTTTTTAAAAATAAAAAGCTGAATTAAAACACGGCAGTGACTTTTTTCACAAACCGGTTCAACACATGGGAGCAATTAATTCGTGCCACGTTCTGAAGAAAGTAAATGCCACGGACAATGTAACTGAAAACACGATATCAACATAATAATTCGGTATTTCGTATACTATACAAGGCACAGTAATAAAATTACGGGTGTCATTCGATATTTCAATTCAACTAATTCTTCACCTACAGAATGATTGTACAATCACTAGGAGTAAAATGAATTGTGTTTTGAATCAAGATTAATTTGAATGAAGTTAGGCTACTTATCCTGAACAAAAAAATGTTTATGTCACGTGCGATCTGTATCATAATATAAATATCAGAATTAAACTTGTCTCACTTAAAATAACAGTGACAATTCAATACCTGCACATGCTCGCTCGTCTTCATCTAAAATGTACCCAAAGCTACACAAACACATAAAACTTCCAGGTGCATTTGTACATCCTTGATCACAATCATTTGTTGCCAACATGCATTCATCAATATCTGTGTGGAAAACGTGAACCAATATATTATTGAGGTTGGTGATATCAAGAGTATATGGAAACCCGTCCGTTACTCAATCGCCTACTAGTGAAACCGAACTCTTTGTCTAACCTGCACACGTCTTTCCATCTGTCTCCAGAATATATCCAAGGTCACATTGACATTGGTAGCTGCCAGCTAAGTTCAAACATACATGGTCACATCCACCATTCATATCTGTGCACTCGTCGACGTCTGTGATAAAGATCTGAGATCTGAGTATTTCCTTATATCATGTAAAGCAGCGTTCTCTGATATTGTGTCTTTTTGTTGTTGTT